ATCGCGTGTGTGCTGACATGATTCTCACATTCCCGGAATAGCTTTACGAAGTCCTGGTCCTAATTAAAACGGTCGAATAGATCATTTGGGATTTGCACTTGGGTCTGTATGAAGAGAGAGCAGCAAGCAATTGCACACTCATGGTCGTTCCTCACGACTTGCAGAAGTTCAAGCTTGATCTGATCAGGAGGTGAGTGTGCTGCTGAACAGTGCCCCGGCATTTAGCAGCAAGGAACCACTTGACCCCACTGTTCTTTTGACTGCTGGGCAGGTCCTTGGTCAAAGGCAATACCGGAATTCTGCTGATGTCGGTTTTTGTCTGCGGGTAGGGGTTTTCTTTTGGATTCGGATTACATAAGTACAAGGAGCTCTCGAAGAGCTTAAGAGGAGTAGTTTTGAAAAGCCAGTAAAGTTTAAGAATCTAGGCAAGTTGGCCGGCAGCAACTGCAACCAGCCCAAGGCGCATTTGACCTGCTTCGGGACGAGGAGAAGCGGTCGATGTACGATGCGAGCCCCCTGACTATGGGTGAAATGTAAAAGAGGAATAACGGGCTGATTGAATCTGAATGCACTGCAAAAAGCAGCATGCAATCCCAAGAGGTCCAGGTGAGAAGAATCATCTTTATGCTGCCTTGTTTGAGCTTCCCATACTGAGGAAGACAGTATCCATTAATGTCGGACCCGGTTCAGTATAAGGATCCGTAAGAATAGAATTTTCTGGGCAAATTTTTCAGGATCTGCTATTGTTTGAGGGGTCCGGAATAAAAATATTTTCTGGTGCCAAAAAATGTCAAAATTTCTTACCTAAGTCAGGTTGGTTTTCGGTGCCTTACAGGATTTTAGTCCCAGAGCTCTAGCACCAGACCCTTTACCTATCAGGCCTGATATTAGAAAATCCGGAAATGTGTAAATTCAGAGAAACTAGCTCCATATAAACCACTTTTTCGGGATGATTAGAATCATACGGTCCGGCAATTTCTGTGGAGGGTAGTCCAGCAGAGCCCCAGATCCTCAATAAGGATATTGCTTAGGGCCTTAGGGGTCCGGAATACTAATTCACTTCGCCGGCCGTGCTAATTTTGGAGGATTCTTTCAAAAGGGAGTATTTGATTGTAAAAGGTCCAGAGATTCTGGCTTTATAGCCAGATACCAGAAATTCTATAACTCCGTGTAAGCCAGATGCGAGCAAAGCGAGGAATCCGTGAAAGCCAGATATTAGCAAAGCTATGATTCCGTGAAATCCATGAAAGCCGCGAAATCCGTAAACTCCAGGTAACCAGCTCCACATAAACCGCTTTGTCGGGATTGTTAGAAATCATACGGTCCGTCAATTTCTGTGGAGAGTAGTCCAGCAGAGCCCCAGATCCTCAGTAAGGAAATTGTTTAGGGGTCCGGAATAATTCACTCCGCCAGCTGTGCTGATTTTGGATGTTCTTTTGAAAAGAACCTATTTGATTGTAAAAGGCCCAGAGATTCGGGCTATATAGCCAGATGTTAGAAAATCTATAAGTCCGTGTAAGTCAGATGCTTGCAAAGCCAGGATTCCGTGAAAGCCAGATATTAGCAAAGCTATGATTCCGTGATGAAAAAATCTACTTAATTGTAAAGGCCCAGAGCCTTCCGCTATAAGGCCAAATACTAGCAAATGCATGAACTCGTGAAAGCCGCGAAATCTGGCTTCAATGGTTAAATTCGATTTCAATTGCAACAAATTAGATCCTTTTTCAGTTTTGAATAGATTTCCAATGGGTGTAATGTAAACGGCTTTTAATTAGATTTGAAAACAAAACGAATATGAAACCGACTATCAGCTTCCAGGCTACTACCGAGATTCATGTTTTAGCGATTTTAATTGCGCGACAAATTTGTGGGGCGGCCGCGATTAAAGAGAAACGTCAATTGTTCACCGGGGGTGGCCTATACTAAACAGGGTCCAACATTACATAGTTTCTTTGGCAAGCGAGCTTCTGATGGAAATTGTACCCCGATACGCACCCGGGCACCAGTTCTGAAACTGTGGATCAGAGTATACCTGTCCTTGAAGTAGGCAATGTGAAGCCTCATCAGCTCATGCAGAGATTCAGACACTCTCCCAGGCCTGAAGCGCAAGTCCGAATTCGTTGAGCTCTGAGCCAATACAGCTACATCCCAGAAGCATATAACCCGCCATGAATCGCATGCACACATAAAAGGGAATGCCAACATTATTGAGTGCTGAGCTGCTCATGTCAGGCCTCCGCAAGGACATGGAGCTCCTTGACAACCATGAGGAGGCAGAGTGCAGCGATCCTGTGTCCGGGCCCTGGCGAGTCAGGTGGTTGCTTGCACATGGGGTGCATTGCTTTTTGGGATCTCACATTGCGCGAAATGCCTAGATCTGAGGAACGAAGCGGATGATTTGAGTACTTCAGGGTGACGAACCACTCATAAATGCCTTACAAGCCAGTACCAGCCCCTTAACATTTAGATGGCTTTTTCCCACGTTGGGGTTCCTAGTCCAGGGGGCGTTATATTTTCAGCACCCGAACTTGTTTGGGCCTTAGGGTTGAGGCAACACCCAGATGCTTGCTATCCATGTTGTAATTTATTTCCGTTGCTAGGGCAACCCCAAGATAGACCCCGGTATGCCACAGTCCTTAGTGTAGGGCCAAAAAATTACCCCCACTTTAGGAAACCCCCAACATGTGTCAGCTATGTTCTACCTTACCCCGCAAATGGTAGCTGATACAGAGACACGTCACATGAGCTTACATCAGGCTTCGCAATTTGGCCAGATATTACCTATTGAAGCTAAATTCCTTATGAGCAACCAGCAGTCCCTCAAACCCTACCCCTAAACCGTGAACCCATCAGCTACACTGTGCCAGTTCTTAGGTGGCCTTGGGTTCCAAAGACGGGTCGTCGGGAGCGACCAGTGTATCGTGGCCACCCGTGCCTGGGCAGAGCTTCCTGAAGGTTTATATTTATAACCCCTATATAACCCTAATATATAACCCCAAATATAACCCAAATATAACCCCAATATAACCTTAATATGACCCCAATATTAGGCCTTCTGTTGGCTTCCATGGCAGCCTCCCGCACAGGTAGGCTTTTGATCGCTTCGAGCCAAGCAGCATCTAGGGAGGGGGGGAGAGGGGCAGTGGATGCTTTGCAACAAACGTCGAGGCATTGGACTGCTTGGGGTTCTGGCTTGGGCTGGACAGTTTAGAGTCTCCTGGGGCTCAAGGCTTGAGGCGTTGGAATTTGGTTAGGATTTCGGATTTCGAAGGTAGGCTCTGAGGCTCTTTGGTGTTCTGTACATGGATAGTTTGCAACAAGCCCAGACAGCAGCTGATTTTGAACAGGGCAGCATTTTGAGGCCAAGGTCCTATACCCTCCACAACGTCATGAAAGCAACCCTGAAATCCTATGGAACACTCAGACCCGCGCGGAGCGTTATTCTCCAAAACCCTGCAGAACCTTTGGATGCAGGGATCTTGTGCTGGAATTCTTGTTTCAAGAAGATTCCTAGGCTCAAGATTACGAAGGTTTCAGACAACATTCACACGTCTGAGCCAAGAATGTGACAGACATGTACTAGCGCACTCAGAATATAGCTTGTATAACCAGAGCTTCAACTTTACTATATCAAGACTCCTGCCCCAGAAGATGTCTTGGGACCTCAGGCGATCCCGATCGATGTGGGACCGAGTCCCTTCTGAAGACCGCGGTGAAATGTCGATTGGCTGCAGGGTTAAGGACCCAGGACCCCAGACCCCAATGCCTATAAAACCCTAAACCGGATGATGGATCAATTGCGGGGTGCCGTTTGCAGGATAATGTCGTTACAGAGGCACACAATATATGACTCACATTGGGCTTTGGCAAGAACTGAGTTATCCAAATCTATCCAGTCCAAAGCTGGGGGTCCCCCTCATTCATTTACCTTATAGCTTGGATGTTGCCTCCACCCAGTAACAGTCTGTAATGGGGATCATCTTCGGGGCTTTCAATATTCATATTGTATTTGTTGTCCAAATCGGGACAGTACCCAACTTAAAGCGTGTAGGGATCGACATAGTGGGACCGCTGGTTTACGGCAACCCCGCTGAATTGGGATTGCGCTGGCGGATTTTCTATCATTCAGACCCGCCTCAAACCATCCGCATATCAAAAACTCGGTCTCCGGGTGGTTCCCTCCTCTGAACACATCTGGAATTCCATATACATGCTTGTTTTGCTACATCGTGCCTTGTTGTTGGGCCCGGGTTCCATGCTTGTTCATCAGAGCTGCGCATTATGAGCAGGCTTGGCACGCCGAAGCTACTCCCAAGCCATCGCAATTTCAAGCTGGCACCCCAAAAGTAGGTAAATCATAGCACAAAATCCATAGACACAGCCCAAAAACCCATTATTTTAGGTATGACTTATGACTCCATCCCAAAATACGAGTTATGATTGGCCGCATCTGACAAGTTGTCATCACTGCCTGCAAGCCCAGGTGGGAGCAACAGAAGTTCTTGTTCGTGGATGAGCCAGGGTTGCAAGCAGTTAACTTGCATCAGAGTCAGGGTTTAGGGTTTAGGGTTAGGGGTAAAGGATTGCAGATTGGGTTCCAGGCCCTTGGTAAACAGTCCATCTTGGCTAAATCTGAACAGTGTTTCCTGACATATGAGCCCCTGAATGCAATATAGCGATTCATGCTTTGTCTAATTTAGGTCCAGCGCAGTTTTTGAGCCACCCGTTGACTACCTTCAGCAGGCACCGTTGGTAGCTGACAGAGCGCGAATAGAGAAAGATTCCGAAGCTCACAGCCAAGGAACTTCGATGCATCTCATGCTGCAGGTGCGTGGAATGCGCACCGAAAACGATCTGTAACTAGGCCACTGGAGGAGTTGTGTTGCATGTGCCTTTGAAAGGACTCCCATAGCTCAACCCACAGCTGCATTGCCCGGCACCAGTCTAGTTCCGGTTCCCATAAAATGCTTTGCCAGCCCTGCCCACCACAGATCCAAGGCATGGATGCTGATGACACGCGAGCTCGGGTCTATGCCCAGTGGGGTGACAATGAGGACGACTTGCAGTGGGCAAAAAAATCATGCCCGGTGGACCCTGGTCTGCAATGAGGGGGTGGGGGCGGCTTAGGGGGTAGTGGCCTTTCCGGAAGTGTTGCATTTTTCATATTTTTGTTTGCCTCTGCATCAGGTGCATGAAGTCATCAGTGCAGGGCTTGGGCTAAACCCTAAACCCTAAACCTTATATGAAGTTCCAGTTTCCACTACCAAACCAGCGCCTCGTGCAGACGTAAAAGTCCCCTGGTTGAGAAAAAAACTTTGGCACTTTTTCTGACCAAAGCTAAGGACTGCATTTCCTGGGTCTCCCGTCAAGAGCTGCAAGTGCTTGAGCATGTGACTGCGGAGCACATGTTTGAGACCACCCCATGCCGGTTCGAAAGGAGGAACAAAACTCTCATGCTCCTTATCTGAAAAGCTGATTAAGCTGTGGTCTAAACTCCTAAAAGTGGGTTGTAAAGGGGATTAAAAGGGAGCATTGTAGGGGCTACCAAGGTGGATACTGGGACTTTATAGCTTAAATGGAGACTTTTCAAAAGTCTCTGGATTCCACGGATGCAGGCTTGTACTCCCCTTTCAATCCGCGTATACTTCTACTTGTATGGGGGTTTCCCAAAATTAGGGGTACCATTTTGGGGGTCCTCACAATAAGGATTATAGTATATTGGGGTCTATATTTGGGTCCCCTTGTTTAGGGAAACTACCGCATGGTCCTAGAGTGTACCCCTGTTGTAAGAAGAAGTCGGGTATTTTCGAATGTCCTTACTGCGTGTCCTACGTTAAGCAGGGGCTCTACTTTTGAGTGTAGATAGGAGCTTCAGTTTTTCCCAAGCACACAGATTCAGATGTTTCTTCAGATTCTGATGTTTTCCAGACTCATCCGGGAACATGGTGTTGACAAGCTCTGGCCTTGGTGATGTAACGTAGCACTGAGAATTTGGAAAAGCAGTGATTCAGTGATGGAGCATACCCCCACAGACCACTAGTCTCGTACCTTCCTTCGACTACCCTAAGCCCTAAATCCTAAACCCCAACCCTACAGTTGTTATCCTTCCATCCCTGCGATATGCTGGAACAATCTGGCTTGGTGTTAACGCACTTTTTTGAAAATTACTTTAATAAGGAAGTCCTATTACTTCCTATATACTCATATTATGGTAACCTAAATTAAGTTCCTTAACCACAACCCTAAACCCTAAGCCCTAAACCCTAAACCCTAAGCCCTAAGCCCTAAACCCTAAGCCCTAAGCCCTAAACCCCTAAACCCTAAACCCCAGGCCCCACCTTGCTGCTACGTGGGTTGCCAAACGCCAGCTTGGAGCTAAGCTGCGCTTCAGGGCCTAGGGGTTTATGTTGGGGTTTATGAGCTATAGGGTTTAAGGCTTCGGGCTTCGGGCTTAGGGTTTAGGGCTTAGGGCTTAGGGTTTAGGTTTTAGGGCTTCGGGCTTCGGGCTTAGGGTTTAGGGCTTAGGGTTTAGGGTTTAGGGTGCTTT